TCATGGGCTCCTGCCTGGAACTTGTCATCCCAGGGTCCAGTGCAGAAACAGCCATATGAAGGGTGCTCGAGTTTCATTTGAAAGCAGCTCATTTGCATTGCCCTGAGAAGCAGGAGTATGTTAGGATGCTTTCCTGGTACAAAGGCTGCCAGGTGCCATCTTCAATTGCTCCCTCTGCCACTCCAGAGTGCCAGTGTGTCTCAGAGGGAAGTTTTTACTCATATGCTCCAGTATTTAGGTTTTGTTTGTTTGTTGCTTTATAGTAAGGCTAAAGAACTAATGATAAGATTCCTAGGAATCCTGGACTCAAGTACCATATCTTCCTTTAACGGTGATACAAATTTATCACACCTCACTCAATCTGAAAATCCTAATCAATGCATTAGGGTGTGCAGCTCCCCCAGTGATTCCTACCTCCTGTTCTTCATGCCCTTGTATTCTTCCTCTTGACTACACACTGAAATTAATGATTTTCTTCTGTTCTAATAAATAAAATAGCATAATACAGAAGTGACGTAGCGTCACTTCTAACATTATTCTGATATTAGAGTATAAAATATGTGCTTACTTTCCAACTTGGTGTCTCTCTCTCTCTCTCTCACTCCACGTCCCTTCTTCCTTCCCTCCCTTCCCCCCTTCTTCTCTCTCTCCTTCCATCCCTCTATCTCTGCCTTACTCCTCTTCCTAGGTTCACCTATGCTGAGAAAGCCAGCTGTCATATTGTGATCCACCATAAGGAGTGATTCTTATTGCATTACTAGGAACTTAAGCTGTCAGTTCAACAGCAGGTAAGAAACTAAAGCCTGAAAAATCACATAAATGAGCTTGGAAATTGATCTTTTAGTTGCAATTAAGTTTTGACATACCTGAAGCCCTGAAAGCTTATCTGCAATCTCATCAGATAGTCTGAGTCAGAGGGGTCCAGGTAAACAAATCTTATAGTGCTGACTCACAGAAAAGGTGGAATATAAGTTTCTATTTACAATCATTAAGTTTTGAGATGTTTTTATTCAGCAAAAAAAAAATAAGTTTATTGTAATACACAGGAATAGAGTACTCTCTCATAGGTTTTCTATGCTTTGAATTATAACCAAAAATGTCTCCAGACAAAGTGAAATGTCTCCAGGAGGAAGGGACAAATCTGTCCCAGGTTGAGAAACATAAATAATGGAAGAGGTTCAGGAAGTCTTACAGTCACATAAGTGTATAAGCTGGGAGTTTTCTACTCTCAAAATATCTACCTGTCTTCTAAGTATCTAGAATTCTACCTTTTTGTTTTCATAAGATTTGTTATTTTTTTTTTTTACTTTTATTTATTTATTTATTTTTAAAGATTTATTTATTTTATATATACAAGCACTGGGTCAGAAGCGCAGGAGGATGAGAGAATTCACCAGAGCCAGAGCGGGGAGCAGAACAGGCAGAAGGACTGAAGTACACTGCTGAGGGGAGTAGCAGGCGGCAGAAGAGGTCTGTGTGCCATGTGGGACCCTCGCCGCGGCCAGGGATCGAACCTACGCTGCAGAGACTGCAGGCAGCTTCGCAGCCCAGCACTTAACCGCTGCACCACCAGGGGAGGCCCTATTATTATTATTATTATTATTTTTTACTTTTTATCTGTGCATTTAATTATCAGTCTTATCTATTTTAAAATTAATAGCAATATGAAAAAGAGGACAATAGTTAACAGAAAAAGATAACCCTGGCAGCTATTGTATCAAAATAGTTTCCCACTACAAATTTAAGCAGATCATTTCAATGTATTGTGAAAAGCATAATATTTCAATGCTGTATGTTCATGAAACCATGACTCTGAGGTTACGTAGCCATGACCCAGATGAGTCAGTGTCTATGGACTGTTGCTGCTTTGCAGCATGATTGTCAAATAGTATTTAAAGGTAGATGATTATCTTCACATGTTCTGGAGGTCATTACAGATGATGAGATTGTCAAACATCTAGCAAATTTTCTAATATGTCCTTTCATCTCTGATCATTGAAACACATGTTCATTCTTAAATGTGGTCCAAAGAACTCTTGTTCTTTTCCCATCTCTTTCTCTATAATCTTCAAAGACCAAAATCACTTACCCCAAAAAAGGACATTTTCTTATTCACTTGTGAAGGGAGAAAAATAAAAAAAAAGCTTTAACAAAGTTATAATCCTCTTTGAATATAGGTTAAAAAATTCATAACACAACAAAATTCCCAGCTATTTTTCATATGTGCTATATTTTAAGTATTGAGAAATGTAATGAAAACCTATTATCCCCCTTTCTGTGTTCCCCTCTTTGAATCTAATCCTTCTACATTAAATGTGGATTATACATGGATACATGGAGACCTTCAAAATCCTCAGCCTCAGGAAGGAAAGAATGGTAACTGTAACCCACAAGACACTTCTTTACTTATGTGGAGCTTGGAATAGAAATCTGGAGGAGGGAAATTCCACAAATGATCACAGATGGATTATTTGCAGATTAGCTAACATATGGCACATAGAACTGCAGCTCTAAAAAAGCAGAAAGACTGAAATAAAGTTTCAACTTAAAGAACCTTATAAACATCTGAAAATGTCAATGTTTTGGTTGGCTATCTAAATTACCTAAAGCATGTTTAACAGTTGAGAGATTGAAATGGAAATACCAAAATGGTTGAAAGTTTGAGGAAAAAAAGATTTTTTTTCAAAAATGGGTTGACTTTTCATTGATATTGTTAGTTCAGTCTCTTTTCCATCTTTCTACTTCACAAGACATGACATGAAAGCACATTGCTGGAATATGAAATTTAAAAAAACAAAATTAATACTGAAAGTACAGAAAACCATGGTCAGAATCCTATTCCAATCCTATTCCTACTCAGTGATCAAAAAAAAATAAACTCATGCTACTTGTAGCAACGTGGATGGAGAGGAAGAGATTATGCTAAGCAAAATAAGTCAGAAGGAAAATAAAAATATCAGATGGCTTCACTTATGGGGGAATATAAGGAAACTGAAAAAAGTATCAAGAAAAAGACAAAACTTGCAGGCAAACCATAGATCTGAGGCATACAGCACAGGAGGGTTAGGGAGATGGCTCAAAACAGGAGGGAAGAGCACAAGAGACTATGGTGATGGTTCATGGGTGCCGTGGTGATAGGAAAATTATAGGAACTACACCTGAGGGGAGAAATCAATTATTGCACAAATATGAACAACAACAAAGGAAAATAAAGAAACAAAACAGAATTCCATTCCAGACTGCCTTACAATCGAGTTTCCCCCAATATATTTATGGGACTATATTATCCAACATGCAAGTAAGGAATGGTCTAAGAGTATTCCTAGACAAAAATAAACTTTAACCAAGAGAAGAATGTCTATCACTCATCTTCCTTCAAGACAGACATGCAAGCAATCATTCAGATAATGTAAACTAACACTTTAGTTTAAAGCCTTTATCATTATTTATTAGTAAAATTGTATCTTGTAAAAAGGAAAATACATGTATCAATTCAGCCAAAGACTGAATTGAAGGTCTGTTTATCTCCCAAATTCATGTTAAAGGCCTAACACACACTGTGGCAGCTTTTGGAGGTAGGGCCTCTGTGGGAGTAACCAAGGTCAATGAGGTCATACACGCAGGACCCTGATGTGATAGGATTAAAGTTTTTGCAAGAAGAACTGTAGGAAAAATATTTTTTTTCTCTCTTCAGACTAGCTTAGAGAAAAGCCTGTCCTGTGTAAGGATAACATGGTCATTTGGAAGCCAGGAAAAGCGTTTTCACTATAAAATGATACTACCAGACCAAGATTGGAGACTTACAGCATCCAGAGTTGTGAGAAAATATATTACTGTTGTTTAAGTTATCCAGTCTTTGTTATGGCTGGGCAAGCAAACTAATATTCTTGCTAATAAAAGTATGGGTTACTTATAAAAGGTGTCATCGGGATGAAAACGATGAGAAACTATACTTGTGAATGATTATTTTACATTTATTTTGCTAGTTTATGATTAAATAATACTATGATATTGTCCATAGCTTGTCTTTTCTTCCAAAGACAATTTGAAGGGGAAAAAAAGGGAGCCAGAATACTCCAAACAACAAGCTATCAAAAACAAATAAATAAATAACTGCTACCTGTAAAATTAAAACAATTCTCAGAATTGCTAATATCATTTTGTGTTACGCTATTACTAATTTTCAACTATTTTATGCTACTCTAAATTCTCTATAATTGTTGTGTAAGTGATCTATGGTAGAATATATTTCTGATTTTTATTTTAAATTTTTACTACTTATTGTGATATATTTTGACCACATAAAATTAATGAAACATGAATGTGTAATTAATTAAAAAGTGAATATTCCTCTAACTACTATAAAGAAATATATTGGAAATTTCTTAGAAAGCCCTCAGTGCCTTCCCTCAATCATATCATTCTTCAATCCCAAGAGACAATCACTATCTTGAATTCTGTGATAATCTAATTCTATGATAATTCTAAGCATGTGCCACTCACCCCCATCCCCACCTGCAATTTATTGGGAAGCTTGGTGGATTTGTGTCTCTTTGAAACTAAAAGAATACTGGAAATTCCATGCAGCTCTTTGGGGTTTGGAACTTAGCTCTTCAGCTTCTTGTTCCAGTTTTCAACATTTGGCAAATGACTTGATAAGAAGAAATATTGGGAATTTAGGCAGTCCTCAAATTTTTCGGGGTCTCCTCAGCACAGTGAGATTTCCAAAGATTTCACTCTGTGTTTTGGTTTTAGCTCTCTAACCTCCCATGTCACTTTCCATGCAGAAAATATCCCTGTGTGGCAAACTAGCCATGGATTTTAGGTTTCACAATGTTCCAGTTTGTCACTACAGCCCCTTAAGCTCATGAAAACTTTTCTAATTCCCAGCATAAGTCATTTGCTTGGGCTAAGCCAAATTAATAAAAGTTTTCAAGGCAAAAACACCACCAACAACACAGCAAAAAAAGCAACTGGCCAGCTGGCAATTATCTACTCACCTCCAAATTATCCTCCCCTCTTTGAAATGGCACTGATTGCATTCTCAACTTCACTGCACTGCATTTATCTTCTAATACCTTTAAAAACATAATATTTGCAATATATTGATATTTGTTTTTTTCTTGTTGACACAGCCTGTAGTAACTATATTCTGTTTAGATGTAGAAATATAGTAGACACTTTGTAAATAAATTTTATCAGACTTTCTTATTTTGTTATAAAGTAAAACACCATGGCATATACTGAATCATTTTCTATTTTAAATCTTTTGATTTGGGGGAATCACATTAAGTTTCTAAAATTTAACCACCCCCTTTACTTTTTTGAGATGCTTGTAACTTCCTTATTATTCATTTCAAGCTGTTGGATTTTGTTTGCTATTTTGTTAGAATATTGCTACATCCATAAAGAATCTGGGAGTATTTATAAAAGTAGCATATCTGTGATCCAAGATAGGGCAGAATGAAAAAGAAATTGATACATGTATATACTTGCATATGAATTTCTATATATCACATGTGTATATCCTTTAAATTCTAAAATTAAGTACACAAACTTATTTAAATCCCTACTTGGGAGCTAATATCTGTAGCAAATATCTGTATAGTTAATATAGATATTTGCTAATATCTGTAGCTAATATCTGTAGTTGTGTCCTTTTTTTATTATTCCTATCATTATTTACTCTCTTCTTTTACATTTTTTAAAATTTTTGCATAGAACTAGGGAGTAAGCCTTGCACCTAGAGGTGCAAGGATGGGGGTTGGGGGTGGGGCGGGGGATGGGGTGGTGAGAGGATTCACCACAGACAGAATCAGGAACAGAATAGGAGGATTCACTGAAATATACTGGTAAGGGGAGCAGCAGGTGAGACAAGAGAGGTCTGCTGTGCCATGTGGCTTAGCTCCCTGGCCAGGGCTAGAACTCAGGACGTGGCAGTGATAGCACTGAGATTTAATTCCTAGGCCACCAGGAAGGCTCTGCTCTTTTATTTTTCTCATGCACTCTTTTGTCATTCTCACTTTATGAAATTGTCAGAGATAATTTATTATTCCATTTTTATTAGGCAGAATTCACTCACAGAAACACTGAAATATATGAAAATACAATTATACCACTTCCCTTGTCTTCTCATGATCCCTATAACTCCATTTTATTTTATTGGATTTGTGTGTAACTATTTGTGTGTTTATGTGTGGTTACTGGGTTTTGATGTGATTTAATTGAGTGACTGTAAGAGCTGGTTAAGTAGAATCTGAAAGGGTGTTCTATTTATGTCTTGCACTAGAGCGTTACATTTGCACTGTGGGAAATCAGGAAGAAAAGAGGGATGTATGAGAGAATGAGTACCACAAGCATTTGCTAGAATGCATGTCAGTTTCTCTAGTACCTCACTGCTGTCAACTTTGACAATATGGTGTCATATTGTCATGCAGGAAAAGTCAAGTCAAAACTCTTCATCATGGACTTAAACATACATTTTGCCCAGGAGTTAGAAAAGCTGAGAGAAGACAATGGAAGGGGAATGAACAGCAGAGGTGCTGCAGACTGGCTTTACCTAATGAGAATAGGGCAAAATTTACAATCCAAGTTGCAAATCTACCTGGTAGCCCAATCTTTAATATGACAAGCCACCATTTTGTCATATTCCATTGTTGAAAGTGACTCCCAGGTCCAGACCATATTCAAGAGAAGTTACATAGTAGGAGATGGAATTACTGAACATCTTAGAAACTACTTACTACAATTTTTCCTTTTAAAACTTCAAAGCCAAGAAAACCAAAACTCTAAATCTTGAAATAAGCTAATGCCATCATGCTATCAAGAATTATAAATCTTTATTGTACTTTCAGATCTTAAAAGCTTTTAAAAAATTATATCTAATACCTTATTTCTTTTCTAATGGCAGCATAAAATTTCCAGGTAACACAGATACTTCCAGGTCACTATTAATAATAATGATATCAGAAGGAAGAAGAAAAGGAAAAATACTTTTCAAATTGATTATAGTTTCTATATGTATTCTTAAAACAAATGAGGTTTTTTTGGCTAAGAACAATATTCCAAATCTCTATCTGGAGAATCTTTTTATGAAAATATGTTACATATTTCAGTCATTAGAAGCTAAACTCTTTAAATTTTTCCTAAAACTAGTATCAAGCAGTCTATGGCTCTCTATTTTTTTTCTTCTAAATACATCATAATGGAAGTTTTGAAAAGCTGTCAAAAGCATAGCATTACCAAGTAATTTCTGTGAGTACCTTGGCATTCTAGTGGAAGAAATAAAGGTGATCAAATGTCATCTAAGTTATTTCTGTATAATTCCAATATTTTTCTATAGAAAATAATTTAAATTTGCATGCCACACTTATGCTTAGCTATCCATTTTGAGACTCCATTCAATTAAAGATGTTCTAACTTTCTTTTTTTTATTTTTATTTTTTTAAAGATTTATTTATTTATTTATACAAGCACTGGGTACAGTCAGAAGAGCAGGAGGGTGAGAGAATTCACCAGAGTCAGAGCGGGGAGCAGAGCAGGCAGATGACGAAATACACCGCTTAGGGGAGCAGCGGGCATGGCAGGAGAGGTCTGTCGCGCCATGTGGGACCCTCGCCCAATGACTGGGGATCAACCGGCAATGCAGAGTCTGCAGGCAGCCTCGCAACCCAGCGCTCAACCGCTGTGCCACCAGGGGAGGCCCAAGATGTTATAACTTTCACTCAGATTTATCATGTTTAATTAATCATGTTAATTAACCAGTGTTGGGCCTCCCTGGTGGTGTAAGGGGTTAAGTCTCAGCACTAGGATGCTACTGGCAGGTATTGAAGCATGAGCTTGACCCCTGCCAAGGGAGCTGACCCACATGACAAAGCAGACCTCTCCTGTTTCACCCTGCTGCTCCCCTCAACAGTGTATTTCAGTAGATCTGTCTGTTCTGTTCCCCACTCTGTCTCTCATCCTTACCCCCAGTACCTCTGGCCTACACAACAGCTCTTATATGCATAAATAAATCTTTAAAATTTAATCAATGTTGTGAAATATAGTCTATAACCTATAATCCTATTTAATTCTAGAAAATAATGGGAAGACTATTGGTGTAAAGATGAGACTTGAGACATATGCTGTTCAAAAATGTGAACTTTTGATTTTGAAGCCACCTTATCGTTCTCGGGAAGACATGATGGATCTCATGCACCAACATGTGTATATACAACTACCACGTGGTTCCCTGTTCCTAATATCTTCTCAAGAGAGAGCGAAGTTCATTTAGGGTATCAGTGTGTCAACTCCAAACAAAAAACTCATATTTTAGTAATCCTCTATCAGTATGGCTCTAAATTTGCTTAGGATGGCTACACCCTGCCATTAATACCTCAAGGTACAAAGGGCTTGAGCCTCTCCTCAAGAACTTGAAGAATTTGTACAAAAATCCTCTCAAGTCTTTTATTTTGTCCATAATTACATGGAAAAGTATATGTTAATTTGTAAGTATAATTCTCTCAATTTCTGGGAGTTATTGTTTCCACAAATCTTCTGAAACGGATCAGGTCAAGAGTTTCTTAAGCATCATCTCACAGTTCCTGTTCATTTGTTTATATTTAACAGCATGTTTTTGTTTGCATATATGCTTCAAATTTTTAAAGGTTATACAACCTCATTATAGAAAGCTTAGGAAATAGAGGGGGGAAAGATATTCAACTTTTAAAAACTAATCTATCTGGGGTCTCCCTGGTGGCACAGGCAGTTGAGCGCAGCGCTGTGAAGCTGTCTGCAGCCTCTGCAGCACTGGTTTGATCCCTGCCGGCTGGCGAGGGTCCCACTTGGTGCGGCAGACCTCTCCTGTCTCGCCAGCTGCTCCCCTCAGCAGTGTATTCCGTCAGTCTGCCTGTTCTGTTCCCCGCTCTGTCTCTGGTGAATCCTCTCACCCTCCCTCGTACCCTGGTTCTTGTATAAATAAAATAAATCTTGAAAAAAAAAAAAAAAACTAATCTATCATTGAGAGAATAATTTTAAACATTTGAAATTTTTACTAAAAGTGGAATTACTATGACACAGGGCATGTAATTTTGATATCTGTGATCAGATGTATATAACACTTATTTTTATCAAAATAAGAAAACAATATATAACTTAGCAAAGAACACATCTATAACAGAAAATAAATGAAAGTGTTAAAATGGAAAGACAGGACTACTTTGAAAACAGGCTGATGTAAAAAAATTGCCCCATTTTGGCATATTTGATAAGTCAAATAACATGGAAAGCTTCTTCAGAAAATAGCCTCTGATTAATTTTAATCAGTCAGAAAAGGAAATAAAAACAATTACTAAATTAATACATTATTCACTATATCAAAAATTTTAAAATGATTTCTCTTCATCAAATTTCAATGTTAGCTAACATTCATTGGAACTTTCATATGTGATAAATGCATCACAGGCCTTATCTAAAATTATTTTTCTAACAATTTTATGATAGAAAAATTCTATTGTATCCATTTAACAGATAAATGAAAACTGATTTTTAGTCAAGGAAACATCTAAAGTCAAACAACGCTGAGATTAAGATCATGACTCTGCAAAAAACAAAATAAAAAGTATGATTATTTGAACATATGCTTTTTCTCATTGCCCTTCATATATATTAGGGAAATTGATTATCATAGAGAAAAGCTAAAGTCTAAGTATAGAGAAATTCATTGTCAATTCACTTACATACAGTAATATTTACATATTGATTATATTGGTTCATATTTCAATTTTATCATTATTACTGACACAACTTATCAATACTTCAATGGGCATTATTTTTTGTGTTTCTATTTTAAAATTAAGGTATAACTCATAGGGTAAAGTGTACATACCGTAGATATATAGCTTTATGAATTATTGTGATTATCTTGATCAAGATTTTAGGTATTTTTTCAAGACTTCAGAAGGATATGTTATTCTTCTTTCAGTCATTACCCCTTTCAAAATTAATCATTTTTCTGATTCTTACGAAACCAGCTGAAATTTTTCCTCTTTATAAAATCCACATTAAAGGAATGATACAGTATTTTCTCTCATCTTTCTTCCGTTGTTTTACATAAAGTCTGCAAGGTTAGTACATAATGTTTGCATATTCTTTTTTTTCAATTTGGTGAATAACTAGGAAAAAACATCCATTCTACTACTGAGGGACATTTGAGCTATTTTAAATTCAGATTGCTGTAGGGAAATAAAAATCTGCTTGAACATACTGAATATGTCTTAAGAACTACTTTTTCTGAATTTATACTCAATAGTTGTACAGCTGGGTAATTGCTCAAAGTGGCAATCCTAATTTACCTGTCATGCAGCAGGCAGCACTTTGGCAACACTTGGTATTATATATCTTACTAGTTATTTTGTTGGGTGCATAGTTATATTACACTGTGTTAATGATTTATATTTCTGTGATTAATGCTATTCCTCACTTTTTGTTTGTTGATCACTTGATAACCTTGAAAAGTGACTATTTGAGGCTTTGGCCAGTTAGGAAAAAAAATTTAATCACTCAGGGCCTCCCCAGGGGCTTAGGGTTTAAGTCTCAGCACTACCAAGTTATCCACAGCCACTGCAGCATGGCAAGAGTTCCATCTCCAGCATGCCAGGGAGCTAATTCACATGGCACAGTAGACCTCTCCTGTCTTGCCTGATGTTCCCCTCAGCAGTGTGTTTCAGTCAATCTGCCTATTCTATTCCCCACTGTCTCTGGTGAATCCTCTCACCCCATCCCCACACCTCTGGCCTGTATCCCAGTTCTTATATGCATAAATAAATAAATCTTTGAAAAGTATTTAACCCCTCAGATGTTTTTGATTAGATGTGGTTATTTGTATCTATTTTGACTACAAGTGCCTTGCCATTTTGCTCTTACCTTTAATTGTATTTTTAATCCTGTTACTTTTAACTAATAAATAGCATTTTCTGAATGGATTCAACACTTTGATCATTCATTCACTTATTGAAAGACAAAGTGTTGGCTACCAGTTTTTGAAAACTATGATTATAATATATAAAATTTGCAAGTGGGCTTTCTGTGGATATGAGTTTACAAATCAGTTGGGTATCTGTGCGTATGGGTGCTGAAACATATGGTTAAGATTATTTAGACTTTAAGTTAACTAGCAAACTTTCATTCAAATTGTACTACCATTTTGTACTCATATCAGGAATGAATGAGAAATCCTAGAACTATGAATCATGCCATCATCAGATATTTGGGTTTTAGGCATTCTGGTTTGCAGTGTTGTGTCTCTTTGTTTACATTTGCATTTCTAATTACGTATGATATTGAATATCTTACATCTTTTCATATGTTTTCTTACCATCTTTATATCCTTCCTAATGTCTGTTCAGACAAAAATTTATTTTGAGTTTCAGACTTCATAAAACATTTTGTATCTTTCTTTTTCAGATATATTTGCAAGTATATTCTTACAGCATGCAACTTTTTTGCCTTTGAGAGATTTTAATTTTAAAAGTTCTATCTCAATGTTTCTTCTTTCATGAACTGTGTTCTTGATTTATATCCAAACTTATCACCACACCCAAGTTCAATGTAAATTTTATGCCCTTTCCCAGTTTTACAGTTTTCATTTAGTTATATGGTTAATTATGAGTTAAATGTTATTAAAGGTAGAAGGCCTGTGTCTGGCTTCATTTTTTTTTTAAAGAATATATAATTAATCCAGCATCACTTATTGAAAATACTATCTTTTCTTCACTAAATTGCTCTGGTGTCTTTCTTAAAGATCTTCCAACTATATGTTCATGGATGTGTTTTAAGGTCTGTATTCTGTTCCACTGATTCACCTCCCTTAGGTTAGGAATATTACACAGGGCTGGAGTGGGAGAAAAGTTCTTCCTTCAGGTAAAATAAGGCACTGATAAAGTCTTGTTCCTTTGAGATGAAGGCAGTTTTACTGCGGTTCTGTGCTTATTTCACAGTGGTTACTTTATGGCCACTGCCACAAGCACAAGATCTTACTGGTCCTTCACTGTAAGATCTTGTTGGGGTCCAGCTACTAAAACGCAGGAAGATGTAGAGACTTCTAAACTTGAATATCTTCTGCTAAAATACTTTTGGCACTATGTATTGGCATATATGCCATTGACCAAAACATGCCAACTTTCAAGATTTTTCAGTTGGTTAAGTGTTTCTCTTTGAATTCATCTTTCCTCCCCTTGGAATAGATCCTACACTGTAAAATTCAGGTTTACTGTGGAAGAAGCCATATTTCCTAGTTAGCAAGTAAATTAAAGCACTCTTTCAATCCCAGAAGCCAAAAAGATCAAGGTACAGTCACAGGACTCTACTATCATCACTTAAAACTTGGGAGCAAACAGACTGAGTTTCGAAGAGCTTCAGAGATAGGAAAGGCAGTTAACTGGGGAAAAAGCAAAAGGAAACAAGGAGAAAATGTAAAGGAATAATCAGAGTTGAATTCAAAGACACCGACAGCCCCTTTGTAAAAATGAGAAAAATACAAAAAAAAAAAAAAAGAATAAATGTTTCTATTTTTTCTTGCAAAGAATTACAGAAAATTAAAATCCTTTGTAACTAAGGCACAATAGTGAGGATTTCTGTGGTTTAGTATATTGTAGCCTAATTGACAAAATAAACACTGGTAAATAAAGTGTAATTACTTGACCCCCGCCAAACATTTCTGAAAACAGTGGACCACACCCTCCATTATTGGAGGTAACCTTTCCCTCCTCAGTCATTTCATTTAGATTTCAAACAAATCAAAGCAGAGAAAAGAGGTGGCCCCAGTTAATCTGCCCACTTATGAAACAGAACCCCCTGTCTTCAGCAGCAGCTGAAGCAGGGCCAGGGCCAGGATCTTTGGCACCTCAGTCCTGGTGTAACAGGGTGGTCCCCAGGAAAGGGGGAGGTTCCAGGTTTCCTGCCCCACCCAAAAGGAGGGTGGAGCTGAGCAGGAGGAGAATAAGCTGCAGAGAAGACTGAGGAAGGAAGGAAGCAGGATGGAGAGCCAGAAGGATCCCTGGAGGAGGCACATGTAGCAGAGACGTGAAGAAACTGCACTCGCCTTTTGGTCCTGGACTGATTGATACAGTTGTGTGTGAGAGACCCGTGGGGAAGTGACAGTGGCGGTTTTTATCTTGATTTTGCTCTTTTCCTCCCATGCTTGTCTGGTTGTTTCTGATCGTTTGTGTGGGTCCCCACTGGAAGATGCTTTAGGCCGTGGCAGGCTTTCAGGCCTTGCTCTGTGCCAATCCCATTTGGGTGGACATTTACCCACGAGGAGATGGGTAACTTCGTGAGCTTGATCTAGAAACTATATTCTTTGCCTTTCTTGTATTGTTTACTAATTGTATTAAAGTTCCACTTCATTAAAATCTCATATGTTTTGTGTTGATGCTGCAGATGGCAGAACCTATTCAGAGCAGGCAGGTTTGGAGGGTCTGGGGCGCCCCTCTCCCTAACCTGTAACACTAGGGATTGTCGTGGGCAGGCCTGACTGGGTGCCCTCATATGTGGGGACAGCTCAACTAGAGCGGCGTGACCCTCTCATATCTGAAGCAGAGGAAAACCCACAAGAAACATGGAAAAGAACAACTAGATCTAAAGTGAAACTAACCAAGACTTCCGACGCCACAGACCAGCGTAAGGTTGTCTGAGCAGCAGGCGGTGCACCAAAGGTCTCCCAGTTGGGGGGGGGGGGGCCAGGATCAGGCTTCCTCCTTCTGGAGTCGCGCATGTGTGCATCACTTGGTCCCTTCCGGTGGGGTCCGTGAGCAACCCAGCCACTCGCCTTGCGTTCCGTTTCCAGGCTGTCACGAGGCTTCCTTGTGAACAGGTGAGAAGGGGTTTGTTGGGGACGGAGATGGCGCCCAGGACGATGTTCTCACCTTGTGGGTAGCTTCCTGCTCCCACGCAGAGTTTCTCCCAGCTCTGGAGCTCTGGGACGGAGTGAAGCCTGGCGGGGCAGCCACGTCAGGGTGTGGACAAACAGGCTGAGCGAAGTCCCTCCTTCCCCCCTCTCCAAACCGGTTTTACTATGAAAATATTCTCCAGCAGACTAATGGGACTCAAAATGGACTGGTCAGGCGACCAATATGGAGCAGACGTCTGCTCAAAATCTGGAATGTCCCCAGCCACCCAGCCCTCTGGGTCCAGAGGATACCTTCTTGTGGTTTGAACTCAAAATTTAATCCATTGGAGACTAAGTTTCCATTGTGTGTTTTTTGCTACTTGCTTTGTGGATGTTACTGTCATAAACCCCACCCCTCCGCGTGAACTTTCGCTTGGTATCAGAAAGCTGTGTTCCGTGCTTGTAGACTGCACAAGAAAGGCTTTGGTTTTTCTCCTAAATTTCCTCTTGATCCAGCTTTAGTTAGCAGCAAGTAAGGATTGTCGGGTACACTGGAGGCGTGCCTGGGATTGTCACCTTCCTGATAGGTGTCAGGGAGCTCAAAGGTGGCCACTGCCCAGGTGTGCCTCCAGCAGGGTTACCTGGCAGCCCTCAACTCTCTCCCCCTGCAGGCCCAGCTGCAGCATCTGCTAAGAGCCAGGAAGAGTCCTAGCAGAAAACGACTTGTCTTAACCGTTCTGGGTGGCAGGACCTCCTTTGATATTTTTTTTTTCTCTAATTATACAATGAATTTATCTGAAACATTTTTTATTAATCAATTTATGCAATCAATCATTTCACAATATGATTATTAACTGTGAGACTCTTTTATCAGTGGGTAATAAGGAGTAATCCAATGGTGTAAAAAGCAGGAAACTTCCTTGATAACAAACCGGAAAATAATTTGAGTTGCAATATATTGTGTTGCTTGCCTTCTATAAAAGGTTATGTCTTTTTTTGCTCATGCAAATGAAAATTCTATGTGGCAGAACTGTATAGTATGTTAAAAATATGGCTTTACAGTTAGAAGGGTGGGGGGAGAATGACATCCATGAAGATTTTAAGTTCTGCGATTATATTTTGCAGTACTGGAATGTTCATTTAATGTTTTTAAGTAGTTTTTCTAGCTGTTGAAATCCTCAGTTTTCCCCCTTTTTTCTTACTTGTCTTGAACTTATAGCTTCTCTGATGATTTTTATCTATAATCATTATTTTGATCATCTCTGGTTATGTGACTTCCACCTTTTCTGCATTTTTTTTTTTTGGTGTTTTGAGTATCATGGAAGTTATGTAACTGATATATATTATGTCACGCTCCTTTAAAGAGTATTTAATTGCAATCTGTAAAGCACTTACATTATAGACAAGTCACCTTGCCCCTTGATCATGTCAAAATTTGGCTTTATGCTTTTACGGGTCTCTTTCAATATTGTCCTCATATACTTGAGTGTGATCCTTGTTGCTATTCTGATCCTGCATGTCATTGTGGCTGCATTTAGACTTCAAACTATCTCCTCAAGACTGTACAAGCTTGAAATGTCTGCTCAGCTTTCTAGCCTCTCATTGATTCTCTTTTCTAAGCATCTCTCTGGCCAAGTTTCCTAAATCCCACCTGTGTGGGGAGTCTTCAACTCTTGATGTGTCTTCTATTTGCTTAGAGCATCATTGTCTATTTGCAACCTGATTCCCTGCTCACACTTTTGAACAGTGTGTGTCAGAAAAATCTAATGATTGATAAGTATCACAGTTTGCTTTCCTCTGTTGCTTTCAGAGAAAAACCAAAGTAAAATCGAGTTCAACTACTGTGCATTGCTTTTCTCAATAATTTCAGCTATAAATCAGAATATACAAAATAGTAGGCAGCTGATTTTTTAACTATTCTGTCAATCTTTTGTAGTTTTTTTTTTTAACAGCGTGATCATCTAATGCTAGCTACCCATCTTTTTCTAAATCAGTGACCTCCTTACTCTTATTTCCACATAAAATCTATTATTCAATTGAGTAAGTAGGAGAGGGAGTGAAGGTAAATGAGTAAATAGGGTGGAGGAGGGGGAACTTTATATATATTGCTATACTTCAACAAAGAAATGATGTTGTCTGTCTTAGAATGTGAACAATTAAGTGATAGCAAGGCTTTTAACTTAAGTCCAAAATTTGTTTTGAAGTATGGTATTGGAATAAAAACAGATACACAGATCAATGGAATAGAATTGAGAGCCCAGAGATAAACCCGCATTTATATGGACAGTTCTACTCTATGACAAAGGGGCCAGGGGCATACACTGGGGGAAGGAAAGTATCTTCAACAAATGCTGTTGGGAAAATTGGACAGCCACATGCAGAAAACTGAAACTAGACCACCTTTTAACAACATATACAAAAATTGACTCAAAATGGATTAAACTGGAAATAAGGCCAAAATCCATTAAATACATGGGCGAAAACACAGGGAAATCACTCTACAGCATTAGCTTTAGGGATGTGTTTGGGAACTATGCCAACAAGGAAAATAAAAGCAAATATAAACAAATAGAATTACATCAAGCTATATAGCTGCTGTACAGAGAAAGAAACTATCAGTAAAACAAAAAAACACCCTACTGAGTGGGAGAAAATATTTGTATATCATAAATTTGACAAAGGCCTAATATCCAAGATCTACAAATAATTCATACAACTCAATAAAAAGAGAACAAAGAAGCCAATCAAAAAAAAAAAAAAGGGCAGAGTTGCTAAATAGACACTTGTCCAAAGAAGACATACAGATGACCAATAGGCACATGAAAATGTAAACAGGGCCTCCTCAGGTGGTACAGCGGGTTGAACACAGCATTGTGAAGCTGCCCGCAGCCTCTGCAGCGCGGGTTCGATTCCCAGCCTGCCAGGAGACACCCACATGACACAGCAGACCTCTCCTGACTTGCCTGCTGCTCCCCTCAGCAGTGTATTTCAGTCAGTCTGCCTATTCTGTTCCCCACTCTGTCTCTGGTGAATCCTCTCACCCTCCGTGCCTCTGCCCTGTACCCCAGCTCTTGTAGAAATAAATAAAATGAAAAGAAGAAAAATGTAAACAAATGTTACCTCAAATTTATTTGCCTCAAATAATTTGAATTGAGTCATTTCTCATTTTATTAGCAACAATCTTAGGTATACTCTAATTAGAGAAATAAATAAATTTCTCATCAATATATAAGTAATTTGAAGCTTACTTGAAGGTTGAAATTTTCTGAATGGTTCAGAAAATTTCATTTACATGTATAACTACATGTAAATGCTCTATTTTTTTGTCAAAATGTGTCAGTATGTCTATAATAATACATTTAGGGCCTCCCTTGGTGGCTCAGGCAGTTGAGCACAACACTGTGAAGCTGTCCGCAGCCTCTGCAGTGTGGGTTCAATCACAGCTGGCACGTGAGAATCCCACATGGTGTGGCAGACCTCTCCTGTCTCACCCGCTGTTCCCCTCAGCAGTGTATTTCAGTCAGTCTGCCTCTTCTGTTCCCCATTCTGTCTCTGGTGAATTCTCTCACCCTCCCCTACATCTGACCTGTACCCCAGTTCTTGTATGCATGAATAAATAAATCTTTAAAAAAATACATTTAAAAAGATGCTTTCAGAGAAAGTCATGTTCTTGGACTTAATAATGTTACTTGAGAAAAAAAGTTAATAGATTTTTTTAATTTAAAACTCATATTTCTTACAATAGAATGATTTTTCTTTCAGGAGGGTTTTCTCCAAACCCAAAGAAAAGAAAATAAATATTTTTTCTTTTATAGGTAGAAAGAATTAGGAGGAAAAACCACAATGCTTAATTAGAGGTAACACTTATGTCTGAAGGTCATGCAGGCCTTTGCATTTTGATTTATTTCAGGTTACATCCTTTTATTTTTTTCACTCTGAAGTGATGTTTGTAAATGTTAAAAATAAAGCCAACTTATTTATATTTACCAGAATTGCATTTGTAAAATCACAAGCCTATTGCAACCAAGTGTCCTTGACATATCATTTACCTTCAATGAGCTCAATTCAATCTGAAATAAAGAATACTGAACTGGCACAGAGACATTCCTTGTTGTAACTGCCTGAGGTATATTCATGTAGAAGAAAGCTTTGAAATATTTCCAAAATACAGTGGGTTGAATTGCCTCTAAGACAAAAGTCTTCAAAAATATCCTTAGTCTAGTGTCACTTCCTTACTTGCCATGTAACAGATGTTCCCATTGCAATTATAAACTCTGGCATGTAGAATTAAAGGACATTAAGGAAAATTTTATTTGACATTCTTTGCAGTTGAACCATGAACAAATGACCTCATTTTGTGCAGGATGAGACCCACAGCTCTCTAATGAAAATCCCAAGAGCTTCAACCCAGTGAGCACTTAACATGGTGTCAAATAGTTTACATAGATTATGTGTTTTAACTCTCTCAACGTATTGTCTCTCAACCCTTATTTTATAGCAAATGAATCTGAGACTTGAGATAGGTAGTTTATTAAAATTAGGAAAGCTAATCTGTGTTAAAGCACAGTAAACACCAGGTCTCTGTATCAGAGCTAGGGATCTCAATGTCACTGTTATTTTGTGTCTAAGCTAACAGAATAATTATGCAAACTTAGTTCAGTAGCTTTGCTAACTAGCCAATTAAATTATCAACTCAGAACAGGGCCTCATCTAAAATACCTCCACCTTAATGTGGTGTCATTCCATTATTTAATTCATTCATTTAACAAATATTTTTTGAATGCAGAGCCTCTCAGCATTAGAGCAAAAGATACAATTTATGCCTTATAGAAATCAAATTCAGGTGAGGAAGACTGATAGT